ATTCTGAAAAGCAGTTCAGCACCAACCGCAAAGTCGTAAGGCCTTTCCGTAACCGTAAATTGCTCACGTTACGCACGCCGAAACGTAAACCGCAAGAAACGTTACGCTACCCATCTATATACCATCCGCAATAATTAAATCATCATCCATAATATTCCTTGCTGTGACACTCTACAAAATATTCAAATCGAGGTTTGGTCTTGCGTATGCATATGACCATCATAAAGAGGAGGCAGTTGGAGCGTAGTTAAAGTTGAAGTGTCATGAGATTCTATACGTCCCGTAATTGTCCTTGGGGGCGCTGCATGGGCAGTCGAGATGATTTTCCTCATCACCGGGTGGTTCAGACAGGATGTGGGTGAGAGCGACTCGACTCGGACGCGAAAAGGAAAGTTCAGAAACGTATGATCATCATGTTCCAACAAGGCATACGACACGAAAGTGTCCTAATAACACATCACGATGGACAGTATCAGTATTGAGAGTAATAGCAGTCAGGTGGGGGAGCTCGGGCATCAACCGCGTCAGGGTATTGCGTAACTGAAGGTATGATCGCCAATAAGGATCGTCACAGGAAGCACCTCATTCTCGGACCGGTCCGGTCTGGCGGAGTTGATGAAGGCTCGTTTCCGAGGATGCTTGACGCCGTCAGTGCGGACCTCGGGAGGGTCCGAGCCATGGATGAAGACCTGACGGCGAAGGCAAAGAGGATCTCTCTCATCGGCAATGAGTGTCTACCTCACAGAGGGCTAGGATGCAGTTGATGACCTGTAGCTCTGCGAGGGACAGAGTCTCGATACCCCCATGTACCTGACAGTGCACCCTTCAGCTCATATATGCTGATGTGCTACTCCTGAGCTCATCCACATCATCAAAGCTGTTATCAAGTCACTCGATACGTGATGGGTGACAAACCTCTGGTTGGACGACCAACTCGGGAGTGGGAAGTCAACTCCATTCTGAACTAGAGACCTACTACGAATCGATCGACTACCACCAGTCGGCCTACTGCTGCAGCAGCAGCCTTGGTCTCGGCTAGGATCGATGGTGAAATCCATTGCTCTATACTACTTGGTGGCCGCGGACGAGTGGCAATAACGGTCTAAAGCAGAGCCTGATGACCCCTGCCGACCCCTCACCGTCAAAGCTCACCTGTAGGTCTGGATCGGTCCTCGTGATGAAGCGTGGAGGGTTGTATACCTCCAGGATGTCGTCCTTGGATGGTAGCGGAGTCGGCCGATTTTGAACATCGAACACAGCTACAATGGGTAATACGGCACACTACGAGAAGCATAGGCGTACTGGGAACATAGAGGCCTCCCTCAGCCTCCTTCATGTCTCTAAGGACGTCCAGTTGTCCCATCGATCGAGCCATCACGACCTGCCCTACAGCCAGGACCCTCAGGACCCGACGAATTGCCGAGTCCACTGCATTGTCGGCGGTGTTGGAGACGACCGTCGGGTGGCATCCACACCGTCTTTGGGGCTCTCGAGCATCACCATTGAAAGGCTCCGCTCCAACAGACTCTCTGAAGGAGATGAAGATCCTCCCCCACGATTCGAGTGATGATGATGCCTTTACCGCGTCTGATAGTTGCCCTGTTGCCAACGCTTGTCGTCTTGATGCCATACCAACTTCGGGACCATAGGGGCTCTGATCATCTTCCCCTTTCGGGCAGCACCGACCTAGGCTTATCTACCATCATAGTCCTATCAGATTATCCCACCTTATAACTTGAATAGAATTTCTCTACCACTCTCACTGCTCGAGGGTCGTAGTCGTATTCAGTGACTCTATCAGAGCTCTTCATACAGGAGCATTCCCCTGTACCTGGCAGAGACCTATTGCTACCACCAAGGCCTGGCCTCACATGGTGCTGTGGCAGACATATGCTGCATAGCTAGAACCAGAAGGACAGCACTAAGTTGAGGCATGTTCATCTGGCAGAGACAACTGAGGGTGAGCTCTCGATCACAGAAGGACCTGTTAGACATTCCCAGCCCGACACCCATCACGAGATACGGACCTCAGAGCTGTGCTGCATTCATTCTGAGTTGAGAAGTTGCCGAGGGAAGCAACTATTTGGGCAACATCATCGGCAGTAGAAGCCGACGAGCTCAAAGCCTGCTGACGACGATGCATGTGGGAACGTATGCCAATAGGCAGCTGGGCCTCACTTTGAAGCTGAGCCTATGAGCCATGGAAGGCTCTACCTCATCATAGTTCTCGGCGATGCTGTGGAAAGTACGGATCGTCGAACGTGTGTCATCATCATCGTCGTTATCATCACTCGAGTGTTCTTCCTTCTCCTCTGCCGTCCCCGAGGTAGATGATAACCTGAGAGATCCTCCGTCATATGGCTCTAGTGGACTAGGAAGGACCTCATAGTGAGTATACGATTCAGTGCCATGTTGCCGTACTCAGCATTGGCTGCGACCTGTAACACTCTTGCACACTCCGAATCTGTGATAATGGTCATGGAGTATCAGGGCCAAGGGGTTTACTACTACCATCTATCGCTGTATGGGCATGATTGTCCAGTAGGAGAGCATATCCTAGTTGGAGGACCTTCTCATGGATCGGGGCTGGCCAGGTACCGCTAAAGATCTCGAGTATATCAACAACCTGATACAGAGCTGACGGTGGTCTCTGGTCATTAGGTCGAAGCAGCGTTCAAGTGGGGTATCAAGGAGTCGTTTCAGCTTTATGAGTACACAGAATAAGTATTTTCGGATGGATTGTCTCTCGAGAACAACAGCATCATGATCATCAGGAGTCTATGTAGGTGATTCCATAAAAAAGAATAACCGTTGAGTCGACCACTCACCATGGACTTCGATACCTTCCCATCGCACATACGTTGGTAGAGGCGGTCTCCAAGCCGTTGAAGGGTCTTCTGAAGTCCCTGCCCCTCTACAGCACCGACGACAACAGCCACTCGTACAAGCATTCGAGCCACGCCACAGAGCTCGGTAGTCGACATGAGGACGAGACCATGGGTCCTATTGGGGTCTTGCATCTGGTATCTACGCCACGCTGCTGCATACAGTCCAGAGGCTACATAAGGGAATGCCTCAGGAGCATGGAGGGCTATCAACCTAAGGGAGTCTCCTTTGAGGTCCTCCAACCTCATCTGTCCAACAGCTCGCCCTAGCTCCTCAACGTAGCCATAACATGATAGATACAGTATAAGATTTCTCATTTGCTCAGCAGGTAGGCTACCTACTCCTTGGGTCACCTTAGAGGGCAGTCGGGGATCACATAGGACCATAGTAGCATTGCCAGCTTCCATCATATCCCTAACTATGGTGAGCCTCTCTGATGGTGTGAAGGTGTTCTCCTCCTCCTCAACGATTCGACGGCCTATATGCTTCCACACCCATTCTGGTGCACGATAGGCGTCCCGATGGTTATAGAGGGTGTTAGCCAGTCGGAGTGTGTGGTGCCACTGACCACTATCGATGTATTGACGTAGGAGGCTATCCCACTCAAGCACAGGCTGTCTACGAAGGGCTCGATGAATGGGCATGGAGGAGGCGAACCGTCGACGATGAGGGTAGTGATGACGCGGAGGAGGGCGGTAGCGAGCAAACATGATATGAAGGGGGGCTACACTCCATAACGATATCGGTCACTGCTAGAGGTGGTTCATAACGAACACAACATCCAAGGATATCATCATTATCATCATCGCCGCATCGAACGGCGTTTCCGTAGTCTGTTGTCACCTGAGTAATAGCATGCTTCGAATGGTCATCATTATCCTAACAGCGAGGACAACATACCTGATCGCTGGACAGGCCCTCCTGCATTCATGCCCTCACTCATTGTCGCCTGCTGTTCTTGGTGAGGTGTAGGTAGGACGGGCGCTGCTGGGACTCTGGTCGAGACCGACACTCGCATGCCGCCAGGCTGTGGGGTGACGGTTCGAACTCTGACAATGATCGAGTGCTCTCCTCATCCTTCTTCCATCACTCATGACCTACACTGTGAAGTTCTCGCAATACTGACACTTGAGGACCTGATCGGCTGTCGAGGAGGACCCCTCAGGTGGAGGGTCTGATGGCGAGGTATGGGACCTGATCCGTATCATACCATTCGGGCATGAAGATACCATATGCACCCCTGGCGGTCATCATCGAAGAAGTTAAAGACCGCATCCTGCTGAGGAGCATGCTGCTGGTCCTTGGTGCGATAAGGTCTCCATGGGAGGCGGTTCGAGGTGATGTCGGTGAGGGCATCCACACTTGGGTTCATCAGGCCTGATGAACCCAGAAGGGCTACAGGATAGGACCAGCCCCAGACCTACCCTCCATCCCCTTCCTCTTCTGTCGTAATACTGCAGGGCAGCCAGGATCCCCCCTCCTCCTCTCCTGGAGGGTGACCAGGCATTGGCTTACCGCAAATACAACGACTAAACGATGACGACGACCGTGAACTCCATACCATGGTAGCAGCTTTACTGACCAGCGAGTATGTTGGCGAATATGAGATAATCATCAGAACGACGGAGGTAGGGCGATAGGATACTACGGGAGGGAAATGCCTCAGGAACAGCATCTCCTAAGACGACTACTGTCAAAGACCACTACTATCACTGCTACTGCCGCCGCCCACCTGAGTCGGCTGCACACAGCTGTATCAAGAGGAAGGATATACTGCCTAGTGAGGAAGTACTACTCGAAGGTAGCATTAGTTAGAAAGGTAGCGAGTAGTATAAACGACATAAACTAACCCAAGGAGCTCATACGCTCGTTGATACTATAATGGGTGGTAGTGTGAATGTCAACCCAAGTGTAACCCTCTTCATATGGATGCCCAGAGGGAGCGGGTCTCTTCCTCAAGGCACCCAATTGGCACTCAGTAACACAACATTGGGTATCATTGAACTTGCAGTTGACATGAAAGCCATCAGACTAGCAGCCTTCTAGCCAGATCATTATTGTCATCCCGTTGCTTCAATGCATATTCGACATCAGCTCTGTCAATGTAACCACTCAGTGATACTATCTAAAAACAAGTCGACCCAGATGGAGGAGGAAGAAGAGGAGGGGGCAGAGGTAGACGATTTACAGTGAGAGCTCCCGGCTCGTCCTCAGCACATTGCCGTAGCCGCTCATCCCGACGCCGCTTATCCGTCACCGAACCAACTGCCGTCCCTGAGGGCCCCCACTCTACCCGTCATACAGGTAACCTCAACTCACGACTTCGCTGCTTGTCAGCAGTCGATAGGAGGTCCTTCGCACCACGCTTCTGAGTCACCATCTGCAGGTCTTCCCCTAGATCCTCCATCCCGGCCTATGCAGCAGATAAAGAAGCACTCGAGCGTCCATTCGGACTACCCTCTCATCGTCATCATCGTCGGGACAGTCCCTCAAGTAGAGGGAGTTCTTCATGACAGTGTAGAGGTTTATTATACCCCAATTCTCCAGCTTTGCCGCGAGGACTTCAAAGTCGCGGAAGGGCATCACATAGCCCCCAGGGTACTCATTATAGCCTTCGGGTGGATGATGATAAGACAGAGCATTCATCTTATCATAAATTGCATGTAGAGTGATGGACTAAAGCAGAGGCAACCTGTAAGTTGCAGAGTATGGAGCACCTCGAAACCTGTGGGCTCCTCTGGGCTCGCATTAGCATTATGAATGCCAACATGAATCGGAAATGGAAGGTATGCAGGGACGTGACCTTGTCGACTAGCACACTCGAAAAAGTGTCACTTTGAGCGGCGTTTATCTCAGCGGGTGTGACCTGGACCTCTTTTGTATCATGTATGGCCAACCTCAAGATATTGATCATTACCTTACATCCCCTCTTCCGCAACTCTATCGCTCTACGACAGATATGTAAAGCCTTGCGTATATCCCCCGAGACCGATGCCACCCTCATAGCACATAGCTTGATAGCATTGCTGAAGCCGACACTATACATTCCATAGTACCCTAACTCGCTACCTCTCAAAAACAGCCCCTCCCCCGCACTCCTCCATACGGTGGCGAATGATCTCGGCTATTTGCTCACTCGAATATGGGCTGAAGTTTACACGGCCGAACCCCAGCTGAGTAGCAGAGACCTCAACCAGTGATGATTGTGCTTGCTCACTCTCGAGGCCACTCGAGGAATCATCCGTTCGGGTAGATCCATCGTATTAGCGATGGCTACAACGGCGAGCTTGGATGTGGGTAGAGTCGGCCAGTCAAAGAGGCAGTAGAGGACCTTCTGTTGTTTGGTGACTAGGTAGTCCAGCTCGTCGATGACGACGACACTGATCAGATAAATGCAGGA